ACTTGTTTTTGGCAGTGCCTGGTGTCTAGAGTCCTCTTCACCTTTTTAGTATCTGCTGTTTTCTTTTTAAAGGGAATTGATTAGGACCTTGGGGGGGGGGTCTCAAAAGGCTAGGCTTTAGGACAGAGCTTTCCAAACAGTGTGTCATGACACGTTAGTGTGAACGCTCCCCGTGCTCCTCCCGGAGCTAGAAAGGGAGTGAGCAGCCCGCCGGTTTGCTAGTAAAACAGAATTACTACGTCACAAAATGGTGTATGTCTAAAAACTGTGTCACCAACATGAAGTTTGGAAAGCTCTGCTTTAGGAGGTGCCTGGTGCTGGCCGGTTTTACACCATGAGGGATGAAAGCCACTGCTATACTGTGAAACAAGAGTGTGCATTCTTCTAATCAAGAGTGCTATGTTTGCATGTAGGACTCTATCTACAGGACATTTCATCAGTCCCAGATTTAACCACAGAGATCAGTTTGCCTTTCCTGACTCAAACTCATTAAAAACTAAACCAAACTGGTTTTCTGTACTCAGCTGGATTGGCCTTGAGGTCAATCCTGGTGTGTAATAAAAGGGACTAAACTGTTTCTATGTTCCCCTTTGCAATAGCCTTGGGCACCTGAATCTATTGGGTATTTCCCCACAATTCCTGGTAAGTGCCATTGACAATAAACATTGTGCTGTGGTTTAGAATGGCCTCTCAAGAGGAGTCCATAGTACAGTACAGGGGGAAATGCTGTGCCACTGACAATGCAGTCCTTTGCATGTCAGCTCAGTGGAGTTTATTCCCAGCTGTATGTACAGGTTCGCAGCCTAAGAGGCACAGCAGTGCATTATATAATATATAATAAAACCAACCTTGGAACCAGCAGAACTGGCCAGTCATGATGTAAACATTTCCAACTCTCCCAATAGCAGTTCACACTAGGCTGCCCTGCCGGAAAATATCCTCCTGCTTATTCTGGCTATGGGACAGGGGTGTCTCCATGTAATAGCTTGTCTCTTTTTTCAATATTTCACTTTTTTGGGGGGGGGGAGGTGGATTGATTGCAAGTTTCTAATCGGCTTCCGCAAACTGTTTGTTGTTGTTGTTTTCTTTCTGTTTCTTTCTCCTCTCCTTCCTCCTTTTTTTACTTTTAACCAAACCAAAACCATTACATTACTCAATTAAAAATGGCACCTGTGTTAAATTGGGTCACCATGACAGCCGGAGAACCTGCTTCTGGCCAGCAAATGCAAAGGAGCGGCGGTGAAGTTGGCAGACTTCGGCTTGGCGATTGAGGTGCAAGGAGACCAGCAGGCCTGGTTTGGTGAGTGCCGGACGGAGCTGCTCCCCTCCCCCTTTCTCAGTTTGCTTTGCTGACTCAGGAGCTGTGCAAACTCACATGTTGGCAATTTTTGCTTTCCCCCCCAGGCTTTGCAGGCACTCCTGGCTATCTCTCTCCTGAAGTTCTACGCAAAGAAGCTTATGGCAAACCTGTGGATATCTGGGCATGTGGTAAGTCTCTGCTCTTCCACAGGGTAGTACAATCATGGCATTGCAATGGGGATTTCCAATATAACTTGTTACTCAATAAAAGTACCATCCAGCTACAGTTCAGCTTTCACAATCCAGAAAAAGCCTGTCACAAGCAGAGAACTGATAAGCTACAGAAGATGGGTCTTTAGAGAAAGTAGCCCTGGGTATAGATTTTCAGATCTGGGACCACCTTTAGCCCAAACATTTGCTTATTCCTTGTTCTTATCAACAGGCACTTTGATTTATATTCTGCCTCATTTTAAGAATTGTCAGGGTGGCTCACAACATAATAAAACACCACAGTGCTAAAACTAACAAAACTACTAAAAACTGCATTAGGAGGAAAGTCACTTTAATTTTTTGCCATTAATAATAATAATAATAATAATAATAATAATAATAATGCTGGTGTGAACCAGTTGCAGCTCCAATGGTCTAGAAAAGGTCTTCAGCCTTTTCAGACGTGGGGCACACCTTGACCCAAACATGCATATGGGACCTCATTTCTTGATTTCTCCCTTTATAGTACTTTTGTTGTGGCCCACCTTAAATCTGACTGTGACCCAGTAGTCGGTTTTTCTGACCCAACAGGTGGAAGACCAATGCACTGGATGACTCGGTCATCTCAGTTGCTTTACCTCAAATTTGGGGTTGCTGAGTTTCTCCACACACTCTTTATCCCTCTCCCCGTTACTTTTCTATTAATTTTGTAGCAACAGCTATCAGTGCAAGTGAGATAGGTAGCCTAACACTTTAATCAAACTAATAAGCAGTGGGGTAGACCATTTCCGATGTGACGATCCTGCATTAAATGTGAATACCCTTCTTTTGTAAAGGTGGTGCCCCCAGAGCCCAAAAGCATTGTCTTTCCTTCAGAGAGGCCTTGGTGGGTCCTTGACTCCTAGCATAGGAAGGTTGTTCTCATCATTGAACCCTCCTATTTGTATTAGATCGGATTTTATAGGTATTATTTTGTAGGTATTAGTTGGCTGACAGTCTTGCTTTCAGAAGGATACATTTACAAGACAGTCTCAACCTGCACTTGGGGAATGCAGAGGTGCCAGGAGCACAAAGGCAGAGAATTGGTTTTTATTGTGACCGCCCTGATAGCATCATGAGCACAAATCCTCATGAATGCAGAATAGAAAGGACATCTGAAGGGACTCCTGCTGTAGCACTGGCAAGGTCTTACACTAGGTAGCAACCAAAGGATTCTCATGTACTTCATCTGTACGCCCTTGAAAGTACTATGCAACTGAACCTAGGAAGCTGCCTTATGCCAAGTCAGGCTATTTGCCCATATAGCTCAAGGATGGATAAACTGTATCCCTCCAGATGTTGTTGGATTCCTTCAGCCCCAGCTGGCATGGCCAATGGCTAGGGTTAATGAGAATTGTAGTCCCAACACACTGGAATGGGTTCCTCATCCCAGATTTAGCTCATCCCTTTTAGTTTTTGACTGGTAGCAGCTCTGTAGAGTTTCAGACAGGAGCCTTTCCCAGCTGTCTGTCTGGAGAAGCTAGGGATTGTACCTGGGACCTTCTGCAAGCAATGCATCTGCTCTAGCCCTGGATGTCAGTCACTGAAGAACCTCGGAGACCATTGCTAGCCCATACCAAACTGAGGGCTACACCCTTTCCTTCCACTACACAGGCTTCTCTGTAAGTTGGGCATCAGGATGAGAAGATTCAGGATTGTATCACTTTGTTTCAAACGGGAAATATGTATATTTCCACTTTTCCTTCCTCCTACTCCACTGTGCCCGAATGGTAAGAATATGCAATGCAGGGTTTAGGCCCACTTGATTTTAAATTTGCTGCTCTCCCCTGTTTTCTCCTAGGTGTTATTCTATACATCTTATTGGTTGGGTATCCGCCTTTCTGGGATGAGGATCAGCACAAGCTGTACCAACAGATTAAGGCCGGAGCCTACGATGTGAGTAGTGGTTCCTTTCTTTCTGTTTTTCATTACATTGTTGACATGATGCTCCTCATGGCACAATCCTCTTCGTAGGCATTAATCTTATGGGGACCAAAGGAGCAGAGCAACATGCTAGGAGTCACATGTACTCTAGTTTTAAGGCTGTTTCCTCTAACAGAAGCTAGGAACACTTGCATTTCTTTCTGATGCCTCTGAGCCAGTATGCTTTCAAATTGTGTATTGTGTAAAAAGTACACTTCATGCCTACTCCTCTAAGAGCTTCCTACGGGTCAGATAAGCCAGATTATGGGACCGATCTGATATCGGGGAATCTGGGCAACCCTGGAACCCTTCCTGATGCATTTGGCTGCTTTAGGGGTTTGAAAATAAATGCTAGTCTGTTGAATGGTAGTGTTCTCCTTCTTTGATACTGATGTGTCCTTGACCATAACCTTCGTGTAATGCCTTCTAATCCTCAGTTTCCTTCTCCTGAGTGGGACACAGTCACTCCCGAAGCAAAAAACCTCATAAACCAGATGTTAACCATCAATCCAGCAAAGAGAATCACAGCTCACGAAGCTCTAAAACATCCATGGGTCTGTGTAAGTGTCACTGATGCTCCTGTCTTGTTGATAACCAACATTCACCTGCTCGTTCAGGGTTGAATAGTTAAGAGGCTCAGAAGTCACATTAAATAATTTCCTTAGAGATCTCAGTATGCTTTCTAAAGCTGTGTGTGGTAGCAAAAAAAATGATAAGGATTGTAAGTAATATGGGGTGCTTTGACAGATGCCTAGCATTGTCTACAGCAGGGATGGGGAACCTGTGGCCCTCTGAATGTTGTTGGACTCCCAACTTCCATCAGCCGCAACCAGCATGGCTGGCCCAATGGTCAGGGACAGTGGAGATGGAATGCAACAACTGTTGAAGGGTAGCAGCTTCCTGATCTGTAAGATGCTTCCATGGGTGGACCTGTTCTGGGCAAAGGTTCTATATCAACCTCAGCTGTAAAATTGCACATCAGGTTTGATATCTGACTCCCAACTTGTGAATATACTTTGGCAAGTTGGCCAAAAGAGCTACATATAGCAGCCACAGGATCCAGATCCTCAATAGATATAATAGCCTGGGTTTTTTTTTGACAGGACTGCCATTGTCCAGCAGATCCAGACTGCATCACAGTTATGTGCACAGGCCTTAATTTCATACAGAATCACACATACAAGAGCAATGTAGGTGTGTCTGAGAGGTTCTGTGGGAATTAAACTCCAGTGCATATCTCAGTATTCTTGTCCCTACCGTTTTTGCTCGTTTTCTCCCTTCCTTCCTATATTTATGTCCTGACTTTGCACACATTGACCTCTATTTTACTTTTACGTTTTTTCCACAGCAACGTTCAACAGTGGCCTCCATGATGCACAGACAGGAAACCGTAGAGTGTCTGAAAAAGTTCAATGCCAGAAGGAAGCTCAAGGTAAGAACAGGAGTGTATTACAGACTCCGGATAAACATGAGAACGGAAACTTTCAGGGGTGTCCATTGCTGAATTCCTTTTGTAAGACCTTTTAAGAGGAGGGCCATAGCTCAGTGGTAGAACATCGGCTTTGCATGCAGAAGGTCCCAGGTTCAGTTCTTGGCATCTTTAGGGCTGGGAAAGACTCCTTGCTTGAAAACCTGGAGAAGTGCTGCCAGTCAGTGTGGACAATACTGAGCCGGGTGACTCATTGGCCTAACTCAGTATGAGGCAACTTCCTATGAAACAAGAAATAAACTACCAACTCACCCAAACTGAGGTCGAAACTACAGTCTGAAATAATATTTCTGTTTAGAAGGTGGGTGTATCATGCTTTCTGTGCTAAGCTCCACGATACCTGACTAGTCCAGCAACTTGTTCCCAAAGTGGCCAACCTCCCAGTGACATTTGCTCAAGGGCATACTGCCTCTCTGACCTGGAAACTGCATATAGCCATCTTAACTAGTAGCCACTGGTAACTTTATGTTGCATCATTTTGTCTCGTCCCCTTTCAAAGCCTTCCAAGTTGGCAACCATCTCTACAAGTTATGGTGGTGAATTATCACATGATATGTTCTCAGATGGGTGGCGCTGTGGGTTAAACCACAGAGCCTAGGGCTTGCCGATCAGAAGGTTGACGGTTCGAATCCCCACGACGGGGTGAGCCCACGCTGCTCGGTCCCTGCTCCTGCCAACCTAGCAGTTCGAAAGCACGTCAAAGTGCAAGTAGATAAATAGGTACCACCCTGGCGGGAAGGTAAACGGCGTTTCCATGCGCTGCTCTGGTTTGCCAGAAGCGACTTAGTCATGCTGGCCAATAAAGCGAGATGAGCGCCGCAACCCCAGAGTCAGTCACGACTGGACCTAATGGTCAGGGGTCCCTTTACCTTTACCTTTTATGTTCGCAGATATGGGGGAAATTAAAAATGTGATGGAATACACACCAGTGTGAATTTTTAGTCACGGAGTGGTTCTTAGAGACCTGAAAGTCCTCCGGCATTTTACACAGTCTTTTATGCTAAGGCAGGATTGTTCCTAGCCAGACCCATCTAATAGATTGAACAACTCAGACCTATCACTGCCACTTTAGAAATGAGGATGCAGGACTTAGAAAATTACTTTTGCTCCTCTTGCATTGCATAGTCTAGGTTTACACAGACATACCTTATTCTTTCCCCGCTCTATAACTGACTGGTATGCAAAAAACAGTTTGGGAACAAGCAGTTATGGCAAAATTAACTTATTATTTAAGGAGCAGGCAAGGGAAACAAAGACAAGATTAGTTTACAAAAAATTGGATAAACTATTCAACATAGCAGATCTAGAGGATACATCTCTAATGTGTATTACGCTTTTTCATTTCCCTGAGATGTTAAAGTTGATTTGGAAATTAATAATTTGGAAAAGTGGGTAAAACATTGTTTTCTGAGATATGGCCTATTTAAGTATTGGATTTCTCTAATGCTTAGATATAAAATAAAATTATTTGCTGTTTGTATATGTTTATAACTTGCTGTTACATTCATTTTAACTTTAAGTAATGTATTGCTATTTGTGGTAATAATAATAATAATAATAATAATAATACCTATTCACCCTTCTCACACTTCCTCCCAAAAACCTTTTTTCTGTTATATGTTTTTTTAAAAAGCGCTTAAAAATTAATTTTTAAAAATTATTTCTGACTTCCCCCCAACATCTCTTTTTAATTTCTCTTTTAGGGTGCAATTCTTACCACTATGTTGGCAACGAGAAACTTTTCAGGTGAGAGATTTGCTTTGCTTAACGAAGAGAAAAGAAACCTATTCACACTTCAGCAGTTTCCATTTCCCTTTAAATTTGTTTATTTATTTAACTCGCACACCTTCTAACTGAGGCAGTCTTCAAATGGGTCCTCACAGGCGCAACGACTGTCAAAGCTGCTCCACTAATACAGATTTTGTTCATTAACCTTGGTCTTGGTGTGTGACATTCGTTCTCCTCTTTCTCGTATCCTGGTGCTCTCTGGCAAGGCAGTATTGCGATGCGGAAAGTTGTATGTCGGGACCAGGAATGGAACACAAAACTATTTTCATTGACTGGATGTCAAGTCCATCTCTGTACATGAAGCCAAGATGAGAGAAAGCAAGTGTGCCCTGGAATGCCCTCCTCATACACGCTTTCTTCCAAGAACTCTGACTAGCTTCCTTTCGACCTCTGTACTTGTCCCCCACTGTCGTTCCCCTCCTCTGCAAAAGCCTTAACAACACAATCAGTCAAAGCAGTTTGATTTAGTGCTGCATATTCCGGATCCCTGGATGATTCCAGATGACCTATTTATTGAACATTCATCCTCATCTGTTTGCAGGGAGATTAGACCGCGAGGGCTATTTAAAGAGCATTCATTCTGATTTGTTTGTGAAGAGGTTAGATGATGCAAGTCCCACATTTCCCAGTGCATTTTCATGTCACTTTCCGTATTGCAAATGATCCAGTCTTTTGAGAAGTGGTGTTCCGCGACACCTCCCAGTCAGCTTTGGATTTGCTTGTATGCAATTGAATACCACCTGAAAATAGAGACTGTCTGGAAGCAGCCCCTGTTCTTGCAGAAATGCAGGTTTACCAGGATTTCTGGGTCTATCTCTGCCCCCCACCCCCCATATGTTCTACTCAGGGCTATGCCATTTCGGGAGAGAGCCAATCCCCATTTCTCTTGTCTTCTAGGCTACATGTAATTATCCTTCAGGATCACTTGTTTTTCTAGTTCTTATGAAGTACAAAAAGTATTAATAACAAATGCTCTCAATATACACAACTTGATTGCAATTTAATATATTCTTCATATGTATCAAAGAGCTCGCTTTCAGGCTTTGTTGCAAATCTTGCCTGCTGCCCCCACTCCAATGAAATGTCTTCGATCCTGCCTCTGAGATCTGAAATGGTATTCCTGCTACTTCCATATTTTCTCAGTTGCATTTTTTAAAAAAAAGAAAATCTAGGTAATATAATAGTAGATCGGACACTACAAAGGCACAAGTGTTGAGCTGTTGCATATTAACACTTCTGGTTTGGTTTTCCTTGAAATGCAAGGGTACTGTGTGTCTCCCCACCCCCACCCCCACCCCCAATGGTATTTCCTGTTTGGTTGATGCTCATCATCAGATCAATCAGAGAGGCGTTTACCTTCTAAAAAAGCAAAGTGCTGATCCCAGGGGAGAGGAACTGCTGTCCCTGGTTAGAAAAGTTACCATCAGCTTCTGCATTTTAAAAGAGAAAAGAGGGTGTATGATGGCTGAGTAGATTCCTCAAGCAAGAATCCACCCACTCACACTGTTTCTCCTCCTCACTTTCCTCCAGGGCTTCCTTTCCCATCATTGTCCATGGGCCTAATCAAGACTCCATGGATTTATAGCAAAGAATGACGGAATCCACATTCCACAACTAGGAAATCCAAATTCCGCAAGCATGAAAGAAACACACATTTCCTAATACTATATCTGTATCTATTGATAATACTGACTATGGAAGTGTGACCTGTCTGATTCAGAACACAGAATTTATACCTCCTCTTTGTGGAATTTGAAATTTCTGGACAGAAATTGGGTGTTGATGAACAAAGTGGCAAGGAAGAAGCGGCATTTTGAAGGTGTTGAGGAAGAGAAAGGAAAGATGGCCATAGAGTGTTGGGGGGGGGGAGTGTGATCTTTGGCAAAAAATAATTCACAGACTACTCACAGAATGTTGATAGCTAGAGGGCTTGACAAAATCTCCTGGAATTTTAGCTAGGGTAGCCTGTCTGATCTTCCCAGTTGGAAAGCAGATAAAGTGTACAATGCGTCTGTCTTCTACCACCAACTTTTCCCCTGGAATAATTTTATAACAAGTGCCAAATTCCACAGATTTTATGTAGTTACAGAATTACTGAGTGAACAGTGTCCTAAGCTAGCTCTGAGGCCTCCAGACTTGCCATTTAGGTTCCTATTCCTCGTGTCATTAGCTTCAGAGCAATCGCAGAAGAGAACTCAGAAATGGTATTAATAGCTAATCAATTATTATTATCATAGGGCTTTAATACTCCCAAGAAGCTCAGGAAACCAGCTGCAGAAGCAGTGTATGGCTGCCATATGTCTTGTGCCGCATAATGATTTATGACTCTAGCAATTGCAAGCCCAGCAGTGAGAATCCTTCTTAAATGTTCCACACACCTTATCATTTCTGCTACTTTTGGTGGCATAGTTTAGTTCTGGTGATAATTATCACTCTTCCTTTTCTGAACTCGGGATATAAGGATCAATAGCCTCCTAGACTATCTTCCTAGTGTTTACAGAATTGTTTATTGTGTGGTCAGGATACAGCGTCCCCCAGCCTAATACTGCACAGGATGGCGTCTCCAGAGCAGTGAAACAAGACATATAGGAATAACTCTGGATCACATGGAAAAGACCCATGGATTGTGTAAAGTCAATGCACGTTTGCTACCAATAGTCACGCCTCTTCATCTCAACTTTTAACTCTAATCTTTTTCTGCTTCCTTTGTCTCTTTCCCCTTCTTTATTTCCCCCTCTCTCTTTCTCTCTTTCTCTCTCTCTGTTCCTCTCTAACTCTTTCCCCATCCCTTTCCCTGTTTGCTGTCCTTTACTTCTTTGTTTCCCTACCTGGTGCTAACAGTGGGCAGACAGACCACCGCTCCTGCCACAATGTCTGCAGCAGCAGCAGCCTCCGGTGCCACCATGGGTTTGGTGGAGCAAGGTAGATGTGTCCGGAAGAGACTCGCCTCACTTCCCCTTTCTCACTTTGAAATTTGAGCGCATGATGTGTCATTCACCATCACCACCGCATCCCACCCTGTTTTAAGAGTCTGGGGCTACCTTTTGTTGTAACTAGTAGCAAAGTTAGAGTCAGGGCCACCTCTAAATAATCTGGCAATTCCAGAACATTTAATCAAGTTGCGGGAACAGTGTCATGAAAAGGTCATAGGGAAACATATGGACCAGCCAGTAAGGATTCTGTATGACTGAGATTGGCTGGTGCTAAAATGATGCTGTTATCTCAGAGGGTTAAGCAAGGCAAATATAGGAGACCATTAATGGAAGAGGAGATGCATGCTTTGTGTGGTGGAGGCCGTGGTGCTTGAACAGCTTTCAGTTTTCCTA